AACTATATTACCTCTATTTAAAGTCGATAGAGCTAATATAGCTAGTTCCCTTATAGCCTTATTAAGCTCGTTATAAAGAGCAATAGGGTTAATAGTCGGCGTTAGCGATCCCTTCTTTAGCTTTAGGATAAGCTAGAAGTCCTCTTTTACGTTCCTCTTAGCCGGGGCCCTAGCCGGGGCCTTAGCCGGGGTCTTAGCCGGGGCCTTAGGCGCCTTCTTTGCGGCGACCTTAGCCTACGAGCTAGCTTCGAGATTTCCTTTCGTGGCCTTAGGCTGCTAGGCGGCCTTAGGCTGGTGCGGGGGCTATTACGGGGGCTGTTGCGGGGGCTGTTAGCGGTCCGGGGTCCCTATAGCTGCCTTTTCGAGCCCTTTTATAAGGGTCTTATAAAAGGGTTCGATTTTTTAGGCTTCCTTAAGGGCCTAGAGGGCCTATTAAAGGAAGCCCTAGGCCCGGTCCCTTAGGAAGGGGTGCTAGGGCTAGGGCTAGGGCTGCTATTACTATAGGCATTAGAGTGTAAGCCGGGTAGGCGTAGGGCTAATAGGGCTACTAAGAGCAGCCCTCTTTCGTCCCTTTACCTACTTAAGGGGCTGGTTTAGCTAGAAGTAGCTAGCCTAAGGCAGGGATAGGCTAGGCCTAAAGATACTAATCTTAGGCCCGCTAGGCCCGCTAGGCTAGATCGGGCTAGTAACCTAGGTAGGTACTAAGCTTATTTCGTTATCTTCTATCTCGATATCCTCTTAGCCTTAGTCTTAGTCTCGGGCTTTAGGCTTCCCTTCTAGGGTCCTTAAAGGGCGTTAGCCTTCTAAGGCTTCTTCTAAGCGGGCCCTAGCCTCTAGGGTGCTTATTTCGTCCCCTATATTAAAGGGGGTCGAAGGGGCCCGCTTAGGGCCTAGGCCAGGGTCCTAGGTTAGGTCCGGGCTTAGTTGCGTTTACGGGGGGTACGTATTAGTTAGCGAGGGCGGGGAAGGGTTTTCTACCTATATAGGGGAAAACCTAGCCTAGCTCGCTATCTTCGGCAGTATATTACGCACCCGCTAGTAGCTGCGCGAGGCTATACTTAGGGGGGCGTAATACGCTATTCGCGAGGGTTCTAGGCGTATGCTTTTTTCCTATTTTAGGCTTAGTTTCGAAAAGTTAGCTAAAAAGACGTCGCCGAGGTCGACGTTCCTTATAGCCCTATCCTATTCCTTTTATACGTAAGGGGGATACTAGCGGCTAAGGGGTATTAGCTATCCTATATAGACGATTTTAGTATCTCTATAACGTCGACCTCGGCTAAGAAGAACGCCCGGTAGCTAGAAGCTATAGCTGCTAACCTATTCGAATAAGCTAAGGACTAAGGGGTCTATTTCGACCCCTCTAAGACGGAACTTATCTACTTTAGTAGGCAAAGGTAGCCTATTTTAGAGGGTATAAAGGTAGGAGGCTTATTTTTTAAAGCGAAGCCCTTAGTACGGTAGCTAGGGGTCTTCTTTAACTCTAAGCTCCTATTTAAATAATATATCGAAAAGAAGGTAGCCTCCGTATAAGCTGCCTTCGAAGGGCTATCCCGCCTAGTCTCTATATAAAGAGGCCTATCGTTTAAAGCTTTAAGGCAGCTTTACTAGGCCTACGTAACCTCGATAGTAGACTATAGGGCCTAGCTTTAGTATAGGGGGCCTAAGACCCCTAGGAGCCTAATAAAGCCTTTCTAAAGGCTTTAGAACCAGGCCCTTCTAAAAGTCCTAGGGGCCTTTAAAGGATCCCCTATTAGGGCCCTAAAAGCTAAAGTAGCCCTCCTACTACTAGAGGTACGGTTTAAAAAGGCATGCCTCTCCTATGCCCTTTAAACCCTATACCTCTTACCGAATTACCCTATAAGGCAGGCTTATAACCTAGCTATATAGGATGACCTCGCCGACTTAGGCTCCGACCTAGGAGCCCTAAGCTATATTAGGCCCTATACGTAACTCTTCCGCCTCCTTAAAGGCCTAGTAGCTATTATAGGGCCTAACTATAGCTTAGAAAGAAGGAAAGCTAGCTAGGAGCCCCTATAGGCTCTAGAGCCTAAGGCCTCTATTACGATAATAGAGGCCCCTAAGCCTTTAGCTAATAAGTAGCACCAACGCCTCTTAGCTAACCTAGCTAGCCTAGAAGACTTCGGGCTACGGCCCTTAGTCTTCTATACCGACGGCTCTAAGGGGTGCCCTAAGGGGTCCCCTATAGAGACCAACGCCTGCTCCTTCTACGAGATAGGCCTAGAAAATAGGCCTAGTAAGGCGCACTACGAGAACCTAGGGCCCTCTATCGAAGTAGCCGACGCAGAGCTATTCATGATACTAAGGGTCCTAGAGGACCTAGCTAAGAGGCCTCGGCCTCTAAGGTCTAGCCCCTTAACCCCTATAGAGGCTTATATGTTTATAGATAGCTAAGCCGCTATACGAAAGGTTAAGGCTACTCGACCTCGCTATACGTATTAGAAGGCTCTTAACTAGCCTAGAGGCCTTCTATAATATACGGCTATACTAGTGCCCTAGCTACCTAGGGATCTTCGGTAACGAGCTAGCCGACCAGCTAGCTAAGAGAGGCCTAGGGCCCCGCAAGGGACCCCTATAGTCTCTATTAGCTACTTACGAAGAAAGGTCCGACAAGCGGCTAAGGACTACTAGAAGGGCCTCTGGGCTGCCGAGGCAGCTAAAGGCCCTAAGGCTAAAGGCTTAGGCAAGCACTATACGTCTATTCGAAAGACCCCCCGCTTAGCCTTTAGCCTAGAAAAGGACCTTATAAGAAGGCCTAGGCCGACCCTTTCGGCCTACTACTAACTTCTCCTCGGGGCCGGCTTCCTATTATCCTTCTTAAAGAGGGTTAATAAGGTAGGCCGAGACGACTGCCGCTGCGGCCAAGGAAGGCACACGGCTAGGCACCTTATCCTAAGGTGCCCGAACTATAGGAGGGAAAGAGAGGTCCTTTACCGGGCCTCGAAGGGACGGAAGAAGGCCCTTAGCCTACCTCTTCTCTATAGCACTAAGGAAGGAAGGGAAGCCCTTCTAACCTTCTTAGCTAAAACAGAGATAGGAACGGCTAAGTAGCTCGAAAAAGAGTAACCTAGGGGCCCTTAGGCCCTTAGGGGGGAAAAACACCGCGTAGGAGGAACTAGATTGACCTTTCCTTTATCTTTGCCTTTATAGCTACCCTTTCCCTAATTAGGTATAAGCCCCCGGGCTCTATAGCTAGCTAGGACTGCTAATAGGGGCCTAGGCCCCTATTAGCCTCGCCATGGCCCTAGAGGCTGCATGCGAGTAATAATAATAATAATAAAATAAAAAAAGCTCTTAGCCTACCGACTTAGCTATATTAGGTTCGCTATAATTAATACGGAGCTTCGCGAGGAGGTCGGCTAGTCCGTTTATATTAATACGCGTAAACGGTAAGAGATACCTTTATAGGCGTAGGGATAGGCTCGCGTAAAGATAGTTAAATTAAGCGCGGATATCCCCTATTACGGCGCTATCGGTACGGAGCTTCGCTTCTATATAAAGTAGCTATAGCTCGAGCTTTATAGAGGAGCCGTTAAACTTACTAAGGTATAGCAGTACCGCTCTTAGTTATATAGAGCCCTACTATTATAAGAGGCTCTTAATTGCCTAGGCGAACTAAGTATTACGTTCGCCTTAATTTTACGATTATAGGAGTATAGATATTTCGCGTATATATATACTAGCGCGGGCGGTTTAACTAAACTAAGTAATTAAACGTCGGCTTTAAAGGTAGCTAAAAATAGCTATTCTATATATAGGGATATAGACAGGGTAAAATAAAAGGTAGATTATACTATTATAAAGTAGGTAAAGGTATAGGCTTAGGTATAGTCTATTAAAAGAAGGTTAATAATCTATAAAGGGAAAAGGGAAGAAAAGTATAGGCCTAGCCTATATAGGCGCGGAGGCCGCTTATATATAGACTTAGCCTAGACCCTAGTCTAGGCCTATATAGGGCAAAAGCCCTTATACTTATAACTAATTAAAGAAAGGATAAATATAAAAGTAAAGATAAAGGAAAGGTTAGTTTAATTCTTTTTATATAGTATTTATCTTCTTTAAAGGCCTTAAGGCCCTTAGGTTACTTCTTTTTAAGCTACTTAGCTATCCCTATCTTTATCTTAGCTAAGAAGGTTAAAAGGGCTTTCTTTCCTTCCTTAAAGCTATAAAAAAGAGGTAGGCTAAAGGCCTTTTTATCTCTTAAAGGCTTAGTAAAGGACCTCTCTTTCTCTCTTATAGTTTAAGCACCTTAAGATAAGGTACTTAGCTATATACCTTTCTTAGCTATAATAGTAATCGTCTTAGTTTACTTTCTTAGTCTTTTTAAAGAAGGAAAATAATAAGTTAGCTTTAAAAAGTAGCTTATATTATTATTATTATTATTATTATTATTATTATTATTATTATTATTATTATTATTATTATTATTATTATTATTATTATTATTATTATTATTATTATTATTATTATTATTATTATTATTATTATTATTATTATTATTATTATTATTATTATTATTATTATTATTATTACTATTACTATTATTATTATTATTATTATTATTATTATTATTATTATTATTATTATTATTATTATTATTATTATTATTATTATAACTTATAATATTAAACTAAACTTATAAAATCCTTTTTATAAAAACCTAGTATACTTATAATAAAGTATATAACTATAAGTTATATAATATACTATATATATAATTTTTACTATTAAAGCTAGTAAAATCTAGTTAATATATAGTAGCTAGTATAATTAGCTAGGGCTATTATATACTAATCGACCAGCCTATACTTATTTTTCGGGTTAACTTTTCCCTAATCACGGTCCCGCCTCATCTGCTAGTCGCGTAATTACGGAGTAGATTTAGTTAAATCGGAAGGCATGGGACGCAACATTTACCGCTATTCGCTTCTGCTCACCGTGTCACCTTTCGAGCCCGAAATGAAATACTATCTTCCCCCACCATGAAGTTTGCCCACGATTTCAAAGAGACCCTGGCCAGTCAAGGTGCGATTTGCTCGTGATGGCGTTGCTGGCGCCATTATCCGATAGCGATCGCGACAACACCTCTCTCTCTCTTACACGGCGCGCCGCATTTCGCATCTAACCTGCCTATCATATAGACTTTCCCCCTCACTGGGTGAAACAGGCAATTCCGTACGGCCAGCTCAAGAAATGTCTCAAGAAGGTCCAGCGTGAGTTGCAGGACCTCGGCTTGGATCCCGAAACACTACGAGCTCTCCTCAATCACAACACTACCTCGCCCGTGGCCCTTCGATACAAGCTTAAAGGTGCGCGCGTGGGTATGCCTGAGAAGCGTCTAGGAGAGACAAGCTGACAGCTGCTTCATGCCGATCTAGCAGCCACCAATTCAAACCTGGTGCGGCCAAAGTTGACCGTCTACGTCCACATACAAGATGGCATCGCTGTCGACGCTTTCCTGACGCCCACCTCTCGCCTCTTTTTCGAGCGCATCGCAGCAGAACTCCTCCTTGGCCGCATGCCCATGGAGCCTAGTCCAGCGGCCACGCGGTCCGACTTTGCCCACAAGGACAACCCGAGCGATCCACCTGCACAGGCCGGCGCTTGTACCGTGCCAGCCGACCCCGTGACTCGGCCGAGCTACGAGATCATCGAGGTTCCATTGGTCTTTGATGGCGAGTTCTTCAATTTGTTACAGAGCGATGTAAACAACCTCGACGCCTTGCAAGCCGAGGAGGAGAAGAAAATGACGACCGAGGTAGTTGAGCTCGGCAAGGAAGTGTCCCAGGTGTCCCGGCCCAGTCGCTTCTCCAAGAACGACCTGGCTCGCTGGCGTTGCATATTCGAACTTTACCTCGATGCCGAAGTCTTCTTCGCCACGCATGAGCGCGACCATGGCGCAAGGTCGAGCCAGAAAGCACTGAAGCAGCTGCAGTGGTTCCAGGGCGAGGTGGACAAGCGCTACCTCGCCAAGGACTTCAAGCTCCGCGAGAGCAGGGTGGCCTTTGCGAGGTTCCTCAACCTCAACCTAGACTTACTGAAAAACATTCAGTTTCAGGAATTGAATAAGCTCGCCGTCTTCAAGATCCTCAAGAGTTGGTCCAAACTATTGGCTGCATGTCTGGCAACGGATGGATCAAGGCTGACCCAAGTCAGAATTTGACAAGCGAACATCGCTCGGTGTTTCGCAGACCTTTCCAGTGGCTATTCAGTCCGAGGGCCTTCTATCGCGCGACATCGCCAAGGACGTTTGTGCCCAGATGTCACAGGAGCTGGTCTCGGTTGTTCCTCAGCTCAGTGATTATCTCTGTCCTGTGTGCTTCTCAGTCGCCTATCGGCCAGTGCGACTGAACTGCCACCACGTGTTTTGCATACGCTGTGTAGTCAAAATACAGCGGCGCCAAGAGAAACATTGCCCCTTGTGTAGGGCAGACGTGGTGATGAGCGCATCAGCGGGTAAGCTCCGCTGTTTACAACCCAACATTCTCGCATGGCTGTGAGAGCCGAGTTGACAGTATTCCTCGTGGCAGATAACCTCGATCATAAACTGGAAAAGTATATGAAGAGGTATTTCTCCAATGAGGTCAAGGAAAAGCATCGGGCAAATGAAATCGAGCGAGGCATAGAGGACTATGGGCCGGGCTATACGCACCAGGAATGTCTCGTTATGTGAAGGCAACGTCAAGCACTAGTGAATGACATTATCTTTATGGTGAAGGCACACGTTGACTGAATCATCTCTAGAGCGAGCTGGATGGGAAGGACTCGTGAAATACGCCGGGTGCTGAGTCACCAGCCCGTGACCATATTTCTACGGCTGCGAACGTGGATGTGACACGACTACATAAGTGTCGACTTGCTCACATTGCAGAACTGGCGAATGTCTCGGGAAAAGAACACATAATCAACGTGCTCGTGCACACCACGTGTGCGTTGACCACCGGTACACGTCGTGTCATGTCGTTTCGCGAGGTACGAAGATGGAAAGTGTAAGCTTGCCCCTTCTATTTGCTCCGCTTATGAGGCCCGTCGAGGGATTCATCTATTCCTCGTGGCCATCCGACCGCTACCTCTGCGACCCGCAGTGCGTCACTGAACGTGGATTGAAGTGTCTCTGTTTCTTCCAGGCCGACGCTGACGCGAATAAGATCCGCGTCGACGCCGTATTGTGCTGCCCACGATAATTCTTGATAGTGTGCCAAGAGGACATAGGGGGAGCACAGTGTGAAGTTGGTGCCCAGGCTAGGCCCTTTGGCAATATCCATGGCGTCGTAAAAGGCCTGTGCCTGCTCTCGATGCTTGAAGACGATGGAGAGCAGGCCGCCATAACCGCCCTTGGGCAGGCGACGGGCATCATAGTGGTTCCTGGACGGGTTGAGCTTGGGGTAGAACAGGCTTTTGACAAGGTGATGATCACGCAGGATTTCGCAGATGGCCTCGGCGTTGGCGTTCATACGATCTACCCGGACCAAGAAGTCCCGGCTGTTTCTCTCCATGACAACGATGTCTTCGCCCCAATACGTGTCCTCGTATACTTCGTCGTGCATGGCCTTCTTGAGCGCTCCGTAGTATCTGCTCTCTGGGTTGAGGACGGTGCTCCCTCCCATGACGTTGGAGTCTCCCGAGAATATCTTGGTGAGACTGCTGACGACGATGTCTGCGAGCGGGAGCACATTGATGTTGGCAAAGGTTCCAATCGTCTCGTCGACCACGATGGCGAAATCATACTGGTCGGCTAGCTTGCGAATACGCTCTAGGTCGGGACAGGCGAGGAGGGGATTCCCTGGAAACTCACAAAAGAGAGCGAGATAACGCTGGCCGGACCGTAGAAGCCTTTCCAGATCGTCCAGTTCCGCCAATGAGCCGTTGCCATAGAACTTGCATCCGGGCCCAAATTTTTGAAGAATCTTGAGCGAGTCAACGTAAGGGAAGCCAAAACTGACGCTCTCAATCTGCCCTCGAGCCGCCAGCAGGGCGCGGTGGGCGTTGAATATGGCGTTCATGCCCGAGGGAAACAGATACACATCGCCCTCATCGAGGCTCTGTACGCCCCTGGAGCTGGACATGACTGGTTGCGGTGGAAGTTCATGACGCAGATCAACCTCGTGTGTGAGGAGGCCAGCGATACGTCGACGGATGGCCGACCTGGCTCGCTCCACCAAGGTCAGATCGAGATTGCGCCCAAAGCGTTCCTCAAGGAACCGAGAGCTTTCCTGGAAGTCGTCAGTGTTGCGCGACTGGAGAGGTCCAGGAATCGTCGACGAAGAGGTAGCATCGATGGACGCGAGCCGTTGGTACCGCTTCGGGCCGCGCAGCAGCCACTTTTGAGCATTATGGGCGAGCTGTGAGCTGGGTGCCGGAATAAGTCTCTGATCCTTGAAAAGACTGTGGCAGAATTCCGCTTTGCGACTGGAGACGCCGTCGCCTGTGTGCTGCCAATACTGCTTGGCGATGACAAAGGCCTGCTGCGGAAGTAAGACGGCAGATATGGTGGGCGAAAGCTGTTTCAGTAATGGAGAAAGGACCTTCGAGGCATCCAAGACGAGATGCACCGTGTCAAGGCGCGCCGCGAGGTCGGCTGGGGTGCGTTGCCGAACAAAATCAAGGCATCGCCTGGCTGCCACAGGTGTTGGGAATAGCATAGCCTGGCAGCCGGCCTGACCATGGGCTGCCGCAATGTCTCGTGCCAGACCATCTATGTTCTTGTGGATGAAGAAGCTGGGAATGGTTTAGTGATGACGTGGAGGGTACTGGAACGGATTGTTGCCATACCGAGGGTAGCCCGTGGTCATCCGACCGACGACCCATTCCTGGCCTTCCTCATAGCCAATGTTCGACTGCCATGTTGGCAGAGAGACGCTCAAGGCCTTTTACAATGCACCGATAGGGGAGGAGTGAGACGATCAGCTATGGAAAACGGAGCATATTCCGGGGAAGCTTACATACGTGTGAAGTGTCTGGAGGTATGGACTCCCCTAGCGAGATGGAAGGCATGGCCAAGAAGGAGTTGTGCGCGGCCGAGGACAGGGCGCTCGGGGTAGCGATTGAGGGCAGACAGTAAATACTGCGAGAGAAAAAGAGCCTCGCCGACAGCGTGCGACGACACACGCTTTGTCGTGACACCGGGCCAGTCTAGTGGCTGAGTGGGTCGAGGTGGCTAGGCTGTGGCTGGGCTCTGGAAGAAGCCTGTTCCACGCACCGAGAGAATGGCAGCCAAAGCTTTTCCAGTGTATTACAAAATACCGGTAATTATCCCGGTCCCAGTTCATTCTCAAAATAATTCAACTGCTACAAAACTGCGAGATCAATGCTCTCTAAACCAAACAGCCCACCTTGTCGAGCGCGCATCCATCTACCAAGCCAGACAGGACAATAACCTCGAACAATGTCCAGTTGCCTGCCCATGCTAGACAGGCATGTCTCGCGGTCCTAAGCTCTGCAACCTCGCCTTGCCCCAACTCTGGACGCCAATGAATGTACAAGGAAAGCTCCCTCGTTCGAGTTCCCCGGTGTAGTGACGCTGCTTCTTGGTCCTCCTCATCCTGTGCAGTAGCATCGCCCTTGAACGCTAGCGATGCCTGCGGCTGCGACGACTGTTTTCAGCTCTGCTGCCTACACAGCTGATACTGTCACTGGGCGCAACACTGTCTATGTCGTCGTTCCAGTTGGCTTTGCTGCTACCAATATCGCTTGCGGGCAAAGGCATTTCTCGCGCCGACACGTAGCTGGGGGGACGGCTGGCAGGCAGCGGAACTCGCCTTGCCGAAATGTGGCTGGGAGCCGCACTTACAGGAGGTGGAATCCGCCTGGCTGACACATAGCTCTGAGCCTTGGAGCTGCTAGGCGTCATGGGCTGCGTAGGTGCGGCTGCGAACCTGTTGGGCGAGACAAGGCTGCTGGCACGACTCCGCCGTGTCCGCTCATGTTGCGTTGAGACTGGTTGGGATGCTCGGGACCGGGCCTGGTCAGACTCTCCCGGGAATTGATGAGCCTGGGCCGATACATACGACGACGGCTCGGGTTCGTAACTAGTCCAAGCAGCTCGAGAGCTGGCTGGTGCGTGGAACGACTGAGTGACTGGGCCGCGGTACACAGATGGTGCGTAAACGCTTTTCCGCTCATCGAACTCGGCCACAGGCAGCCGTGCTCGCTCTAGCGGTGCCTCGCTGCGGCTTCTTGCACTGGACACCTTGGGCGAGCGGCAGCTGCGCATATCGTGCATTGTCCGGGCACGAAAGGGGACACTGTTCGCGGTGGATTTATTGTCAGCCCGTTGACTGGCAGTCGAATGTTGGACGCCCTGGACCAGGTAACGCTGCGATCGCAACTCCCCCCGGTCGGGTTTGCGGCCATAACTGTAGCCTTGCCTCGAGGCGGACGCGCCATTGTTCTCAGGATATGCAAAGCCGATCATGCGAGTGGCAGTCATTCTGTGGTCTTCTTGGTGATACTTGGGCTGCTCTGCAAGGGTGTTGCGAGGCAGTGCCCGAGGGTTCTCGACTTGTTGCCGACTCTGGTCGGCATCGTTATTATTTCGCGACACCATGCTATATGTCAGGGCAGCTCCAGCGGCCACGCCCAGCAGTGCGCCGACAACGGTGGATGCACTAATGCCCCCGGAGTTCTGAAGGGGCGCTGCTGATTTGGACGGTGGCGACACTGGCCTTCGACGGTGGGAGTCGTCGCCCGCGTCGACCCGACGGGGTATATGTTGACTGGTGTTTGAAGAGTGTGACGGGTGGGAAGCCAGAGGAGCGGCCGAGGAGGCGACGCTGTAGCTCCATTCGAGAATGCGGGAAGCCTCTCCTCGGCTTGAAGACGTTGGATGAACGGCAGAGCCGCTGTCCTGCATGGTACCCGGGGCAGGTCGAGGATCAGGATAGACAGCTTCCACTCGGTTTCCGTCCAAGTCCAGAACCGCGGCACGTACGACACCGCCGTCGCCGCCGTCTTCAATGAGCCCGATACGTTGCCCACGAGCTTGTCGCTGACCCAGACTATGCAGGCGTAGCGCCGGGTTGGCTTTGAGCCCACAGTCGTGGAAACGGAGTACGGCGGACCTCGAAGAAGCGGTAAAGAGGAACTGGGAGAGTCTGGGCGCCTCGGAAGCCTGACAAACTCGCAAGACGGGATCTTCGGCGGCCCCAAAGGCGACTGAGGGCGGGGGACCGCGAGCAGAGCTGTTGTATTTCAGGCCCAGCGGCTGGAGGATGGCTGAGTAGAAGGACACGGACGATGCAAGGTGGGAGACCTCGACAAAGGGCACTTGAACCATGCTTGCTGTCTCTGCATCCGATATAAGCACATGTGCAACCAACTTGACATTTTGGCGTCAGACCTGTATGGGCGAATAAGGCAGTTATTGAGCCCAACGCAAACCGAGCGAGGACGAGCTCTAGAGCTGGGCCTTGCCTTAGGCGACTGAATCCGCGGCTGGCGATGGGGGACCTGGTTGGTGAAACGCGACGACTCGTCGACAAGAGATGCACCTGCTGACATGTGAAGCGCCTCTGCGAATCCTGGGTCTGGATGCTTCGTGACGTGGCCCTGTTGGCTGACTAGGTGTGCAGTTTCAGGCGCTAGATGGCGTGCAACCGTTATTTGGTAGTTAATGAGCAACCTGGCTGCGAGGCGAGGTGAGCAAAAGGAGGGAGCCAGCGGACGAGACGGAATCCTGCCTCGAGTCCCTGGCTCAGAACCAAGTACCTAGGTAAGGTAAGCGACTTGACGAGAGGGGAGCCCGTGGCACCTCGCAGCCGCGGTCGCGTTTGCTGGTGCTCAATTTGTTGCGCCTGTTGAACCGGTTAATTCATATCTTATAGTCGCCGCCTTTGTCTTGCACCTGGCGGACCGGCGGATGTGCATCCTAGCGGGCTGGGCATCGTATTCGGCCGCGCAGCATACTCTTTGTTGCACCGAACTGGCCTATGCCTCGAGGCCATGCCAAGTACACAGGCCAGGTTCCCGCAAATCAAAGTTGGAGGAGGGCGGGTGAGGATGGAGGCAGACGTGGCCAGGCGTTGCAGCATGCAGACCCAAATCCCTCCCTGAGGGGATAGTTTCTTTGGCCACTGGGTCTTTGGCCACTGGGTCCCCCTGCGTTAACCCCCCAGGCGTGCATCTGCTCCACTCCCGGCCTGGTTACTGGCGGCTTCTCCCCGCTCGCCACGTCGCCCAGAATAACCCTATACGTATACCTGGTAGGTAGACAAGTACCTAGGTACTTGGACTGGTACCTGGTATGTAGGTCCCAGAAAACAGGTTGCAATCTTGTCACACAAGCAAAGTTCGTTGGATGTAAGAGCTAAAACTGAGCTACTGGGGCCATTCTTCTGACCAAATGGGTGGGTGGTGCCCCCACCCAAAGTCCTTTCCCTGGGCAAAATACTTCGGTAGGAAGTCACCCTCCATCAGCCCCTGTAAGATACCTAGGAGGTAGGTACTGTAGGTACAGTAGGTACAGTAGGTGGTACTGTAGATACCTGGTAGGTAGGTAGGTAGGTAGGTAGGTAGGTAGGTAGGGAGTCTGCCTGCCTCTGTGCTGTGGGGAAGAGGACGTGTTCGTCCTTTTGCGAACCGTTGGGCTCGACTTGCAGCGAGATTCAGGTCAAGTTGGAGTTTGCCTCCAGGAATCAGTTGTGCCACAAGCTGATACTACGCAAGGTGGTATGTAGCGGCACAGTACAAGTCACTGCGTGCGTTGGCACATGCAATCAGTCCTGTCGCTAAAAACCATTGTGCGGTGTGATTGAGGGGTAGGCAAGCCGATGGATACATTGGGACGTGGCTTGTTCAAAATGATTTGGATCCCACTTTCCTCCTCAGCTTCTCACAGACGGACATCTTCGTACCGACAGAAGCGAACTATCACGTCGAATGCGAGCGGAAGCTCGTCCTGCTAAACCCCCACGTCATCCAATTTGCCTTGGTCTAGAGAACAACTCGCCGTGGGAACATGTAGCCTTGCCGCCGGTGTTGCAGCGAGTGCTGCCTACAGCCACCGCCATACCAGCTCGCAACGTTCCGATATTGAGCAGTCCGTCACCCCAGTCCAAGTGTCTGCGAATTCGTCGACTGACTGGCCTGTTCAAGATGCTTCTTCCGCTATCAATGGCCACAGATAGACATCCCAAGGCGAAGACACAGCGAGCCAAGTTGAGGCATCTTCCACATGTTGGAAGCCATTGGATCTGTATGTTGCGCGCCCTCGCATGTTTTGGTTGTAAAAACACGACCAGGCTCGAAACCCAAGCTCCCCAAATCTGGGCCGGACAGGCTCGTCGTGCCGCGATGTTGTATCACTGCCGAGCGAGACGATCCAGGCTTGTGCCTTTGCCTGGGCCAACCTACGCCCCCGGCTCCACCAGGAGTGTCCCTTCCCAATCCTCTGGTCTAGTCCCGCTCCCGTGGCGGGAAATGAGATGGCTAGATAATGTCCCACACATCCTCGGCCGCATGGCAGAACTTGCTGCAGGCCACGCTAGCGGAAAGAGAGTAGTTGCTTATCGATATCTTCTCGTCGACCAACGAGTCGGCGAAGTTATCGGCACCCTTGGCCATTGCGCCGACGAAGACGCATATGCTCTCCTTGGGCCCCATGGTTTCAACAAACTCGCGTACTCGAACCAGGGGAGCATCAAAGCTAAGGGTTACCTTGCGGCAATTGGGAGGGAGGTGGTCAGTAATAGGGTTCTGAATCACGCGCAACAGTTTTTCGTTTGAGTTTGTGGAGCGAATGGATAGACGGTGCAGGAGCTGCACCATGAGGCCGGCGAAACGCTTGAATGTACGAGGTATGCGAACCGACGGCGACACCTCGATTAGCACGCCTTTTGCGGTATGGATGTATATCTGGAGCTTGCCAGCCTTGTTGATGGGCGAGTCCAAGAGGGTCAGGAGACACTGTGCGACTGTGAGCAGGACGTGGACTTGGCAAGGGCGCGGGCGTCTCGAGGCCGCACCTGATGAGTGATGTCGGGGCGAGCGTCGCTGATATCCCTGTTCATTTTGCGCATGACGCCAATGTGCTCGTCACTGTTGAGGAGCGAGTACTTGTCTTCGCGGAGGGCGCCGGCACGGTTGGCCCCGCCGTGCGACGCCTTGTAAGTCTCGAGACTGGCATTGGACAAGACGACAATGAGTCGCTGCGAGTCTTTATCGGTAGGCGGAATGGCGGAATGCTGTTCAGACACGAGCTGCGGCAGCGACGGGGGAGGGAGCGATTGCGTCCCTGCGTAGATGCAACGAGGGTAGGGTCAAGATTAGCCACGGTTCTCCTTCAACGGCCTGCAGGGCCTTCTGGTTGGGCATGTCTTACTAGGCCGCTTGACACCCGCGCGACGATGCGGAGAAGACATGATGAACAGCGTTTTGTGAGTTGGGCAAGTGACTCAAGGCGACGACGACGGCAATGGCGACGTCGGACGAAGAGGGAAGAGGGGGTCGGGCGAGGCCTAGGTGAAAGAAATATTTATTGGGGAATGGGCGCTCCACTCCACTGCGACTGCGTGAATTGGCGCTGGATGCTCCTGACACCACCGCTTTTGGCTCGCCAGCCAAGGACAGCCTTAGCAAGGCATGCAAGGGTATAGTATATAAGCAGAAAGCTTTTTAACAGGGCGATGCTTTTTAGCTATTATAATATATATATATAGGGAAGCGTATAGTATTTTAGATCTAGAATATTATACTTTATACTTATATATATATATATATATGCTTACTATTATAGAGCTTTATCCTAAGTATATAGTTTAGTAGGGTATAGGCAGTAGTTAAATAGCTTTCTAAGGTAAAGAGCCGCGCTAGTAGTATATTATTAGCGGTGCTCCGCGCGGACGAGAGCTTTAAGATAATAATCTAGGATACTATTAAGAAGGCAGTTAAGGAAGAACTCTACCTAAGTATTACTTCGGGCCTAGGGGGCCCTAAGTAAACCTAGGCTACGGTTATAGCCGAAACTAAGGGACTAACCTAATACGAAGCTACGGTAAAATAGGTCTTACCGCGCTATAAACGCGAGATTATTATAGTCCTTATAAGGGTACTACCTAAAATCCTAAGCCGCGAATTAAAGGATATAGTAAAGGCGGTAAATATAGCCTTAAAAGCTATAAGCGCTATAGCGGCGAGGCGCCTTTAAAGTAAAGATATCGCGGTTATATTTAATACCGCGGCGAGAGCTTACTAAAGGGACTAAGGCTAGGTTAAGGCCGTATTTAGACCGGAGGCTATAATTACCTACTATATATATATAGTAATCGCTAAGAATATCCCTTTAAAGGTAGTAATAGTAAATAAGAAGCGATTACTTTATAAGATTATAAAAGCGAATAAAGTTAAGGTCCTTTAAGCCTAAGCGCTAGGCCTTTAATCTAAGATATTAATAGTAATAACTATACTTATTAAGGTTAGTAGCTTAAAAGAGGCTAATAAGCTTTATAGCTTAAGCCTAGTCCTTAAAGTATAAATCTTTTAATATAAACCTTATAATAAGTCGGTTTAATTATAAAGGTACTATAGTTATTATAAATATAGCTATATCGCTAAGTAGTATATATCGATATAACTCTATAGCTAATATAAAAGTATAGTATATAATAAAAGTAAGGATAAATATAAGGCTAAGAAAGGTAAAATCCCTTATAACTATATCTTATACTAAGAGGACTACTTATTATAGACTTAGACCTACCCTATAGTAAATAAAGCCTAGGAAAAGGTAAGGGAAAACTACTTATAATAACCTTAATAGTTCGCGAATACTTAGATATACGCTAAGTAATAAGTACTTCCTACTATCGAAGCTTAAGGCGCTCTTAAATCGACCGCGGTTTAAAAGTAAGGACTAAGTAGACCGCGCTAGGATAAGAGGTTAAGCTTAAGATACCCGCCGGCTAGTAGGGCTAAGGAGGCTAAACTAAGTATAAATAATATTTATAAGTATAGTAAATAAAAAAGCGCTAAGAAATAAAGCGCCTCCCTTTTTATATAAATAACCCTTTTTACCTTAACCTTACTTATATATAACTAAAAGTACTATTCTAGAATATATAAAAAAGATATAAGCTAGCTTAGTTAGTACTTTACTATTAAGCTAGCTTTAACTTAATAGTACTATAAGAAGTAAAAGCTATACTAATAAGCGGCCCCCCTTACCCTTAAAGCGGCGCCCTATAACTTAGTTTATAAGGAAGGGAGGTACGCGCTATATATATATAAAAGGCTTAGGCTAGGGACTTAGTCGCCCTAGTTTAAACTAAACTAAAGTAAGGTAATTTTTAAGGATAGTATTAAACTATAAGCGATTTACTTACTACTAAAGGCTATAAAGGCTAAAGCGTTATATAACTTAAGCGTAATTAAACTAAAGTACCCTATAATAATAGTAAGGGACTTTAATATCTATTACTTACTCTAAGATAGATATAATAGAACCTTAGATAGCGCGATATAACTTATATAAAAGGTAATAAGATTATAACTTAAACTTACTACCTTAAGAAAGAAGTATATAAGATTTTTCTATAGCTAAAAGGATAGTACTATTAACTTAGCTTAGGTAATACTAAAGATTAAGATATAATATACTAAGCTTAACTTAGACCTAACTAGGTTAGACTATATCCCTTAGACTATTATAATATAGGTTAATACCTAAGCCTAAGTACTTAAACTAGCCTTAAGGTAAAAAGAAGTAAAAGTAAAGCTAGTTAAAGCTAAGACTATATCCTAGCTAAGACTATACTAGCTAATACTTTAAACGCTTAAGGATATTAACTAAGACCTAGACTATATCTTTACTACTTTAGCGTAGATTACGATAGCTATAGTTCTACTTTAAGGGTAAGTATTATTTAAAGGCAATATATAGTTTACCTTAAAAGTAAGAAGGGTAATAAGAAAGGCTAAGAGGGTAAGGAGGAAGTATAAGTAGGAAATAAGTAAGGTAAACTAAGAAGACCTATATAAAGTATTTATAGCTTAAAAGTAAACTATCTATAAGGTAAGGAGGGCCTACTAGCGCGAGTTCTTAAAGGAATTTAGCGCTAATAATACTAAGCTTTAAAACGTAAAGAGGTAAGCTAAACTTTATAGTAAGCTATTACTAAAACTAACTTATATCCCGCTATTAGTTAAGGAAGGTAAGAATAGACTAATAGAAACCTTTAAAGGGAAAGCTTAAATATTAGCTACTAAGTTCTTCTTACTAAAGGCTAGTATAACCTAAGGGCTACCTTAGCCTATAGCTAAGGCGACCCTTATAATTAACTAATAGATCTAGCTAGCTAACGTTATAATAGCGCTAGGTAAGATAGTAAGCTAAAAAGTAATAGGTCTAAATAGCGTCCCTTTAAGGTTTATTAAGAAGTATAGCCTAGCCTTAGTTTAGTAACTAGCTATAATTATTAATACCTATACTTAACTTTTATACTTCTTAAGTTAGTTTTATAATATAAATATAATAGTTATTTAAAAGCTAGGTAAGAAGCTAGAAGCTTACTATATAGTAAAGGGATAAATACTAATTTCCCTCCTACTTATAATAGGAAAAGTACTTAAGTAAATACTAGCTTAAAGGATTATAGGAGTAATAAAGGTAAATAGTATCCTATTAAATAGATAAATAAAGAATAAAAAGGAACGCTTTATAAAAGCAGCGATCTTACTAATAATAAAACTAGTATATACGACCTAAGCTTAAAAGGGTATTATATTATTCTTATAGCTAGATATTAAAAGCGTATTTAATATAGTTAACTATAATAAGCTTATAAAGGAACTAAAGCTTAAGAGATACCTTAGATAGCTTATAAGCTTAATATAAAGCTTTATAAGTAATAAAAGATTAACCTTTTACTTTAATAGGAGGACTTTAAAGCTAACTTAAGTATTAATAAAAGTCCTTTAAAGCTCCCTCTTATCCTTAATCTTATTTCTATACTATATAACCCCCCTATATAAAAGGCTTAGTATAATATATAGTATTTATACTATTAGCTTTACCGATAATATAAATATAGTTAGTATTAGACTTAATAAGGCTATTATAGTAGTATGCTTAAAGGAAGCTTAAAGGGTATATATAGAGTAAGCGACTAAGTTTATAGTTACTTTCGAACTATTAAAGAGTAAGTTAATATACTTTATATAAAGGAGATAAGCGATAATAACGCTAGTCCGCCTTAAGGCTAACGTAGTAACTTTAGTTTAAGAGGCCTACTTACTAAGGGTCTAGGTATATCGGAAACTATATTAAAAAGCATACTTAAAATAGCTCTAAGTAAAGTTAAAGTACTAAACTATAGCCCTAACTAGGCTCGCGGCGTCTATATAAAGTTATACCTTACTATACGCTAAGGAAGTTTATAGTAAAGTAATTTAGTCCTTAATCTCTTATACTATAGTTATATTCTATAAGATAACGCCTATAAAGGGGAAACTATATAGGATCGCACGGACCTTACCTAAGACTAGTTAGCTTACTTTTAAGTAATAATAGGCGCTTACTATACGACTTTAGTTTACTAAGTTAAAGTAGAGGTATAGGTACCTTTAATTAACCTTTACTTAAATTAAAGAGTAATAAATACCCTTTAAAGGCTAAAGGACTTAGGGCTCTTAGGCTAAATCTAATACGCGTTTAATATAGTCGCGGGTATACTTAAAAGGAGGTAATACTAAGGAGAGAGTAGGCCCTTAGCGGCGCTACCTCTAAGTAGACCCCCCTTTATAGAGGAGATAAAGGGGGTTTAAGGCTAGATAGGATTAAACGACCTTTTAAATAAAGCTAAGTCGCTTAAAAAGCTAAATAAAGAATAAGCTACTTAATAGAACACTAAGAAAAACGCGATTTAATAATACTAAACTACCTTCTTTCTACCTTACTAACTTCCTACCTTAGTTTAATAAAGCGATAATACTAGACCGTTATAAGGGCCTCCCTAAGTATATTAATATAAGAGTTACTTAGATATTATAAGAATATACCTTTATATTCCTATCTTACTATTATAAAGAAATAATAAGTATAAGGAGGCTTTATAGAATAAAGCTAGTAAAAATAGGCTTTATAATATAGTCTAAAGGAATAACCCTTAAAGATAAAGACCTCTACTAGATATCTATACCTTCCTCTAGGAAAAGCGGGCTAAGATAAGCCTATCTTAATAAAATAAAATATATATAAAATGCATAAGTTAATTATAAGTAGAACGGATACCTTATTACCTATTTTAGCCTAGCGGTTCTAAAGATATCTACGATACGAGAATAGGTAGGGTATAGAACATTCTAGTTAAATCTACTACTTATACTAGAACCTATAGTCTTACGTTAACTATTACGCTATAATTAG